GCATAAATGTCCTCTGTATTGACTAACTTACATGAGCCTCCGAACCCAGCTGATGCGGTAAGGGTAACTGGGCAAGAAATTGCAGGCTTTCTGTATCGAACAGGAGGCAGGTGCCATTTGCACAACCCACAGTCACCCAGGAGCGATGCACTGACAGACAACTGGCTCGCGAAGTCTATGAAAGAGGGAAGGAAATAAGACGAATATAATCATATAATCATGACAGTCCATCATTACAACCAATCAACAGACTGAGATAAAAAATGCCTTTAAGAGATGGTTAGGTAGCGATACGTCATCTGAAGACGTAATCCAATTGTTACACACAGAAGAAAGTAAAAGTATCTGCCTACTGGACATACATCGTGCGTATCAGTCAGTCTCCACATGAGCCACAAAGTTTGACGGAGGGCCGACAGCTGAATAACCAAATTTATGGTTTCACGCAGGCGGAGTGGCTGGATGAAATATATCCAAAGACTCACATCTGAAGCAGCAGCAAAATAAAGACATCAGATAGCTAGGGACTTAATTCAAGTGAAGATAGTCCCTGTGTGGAATTATACTGGAGTTCTGCATCATTCTTTTTCCGAATGAGAGTAAAGAAGTTGCCAGTAATGAGGTTTGAGTATTTTATGCTGGTACAGTAATGCATCCTCTCAACCAGTCGTTTTTACAGCTGGTGACACTAACCTGCTCAAATAACGTACGGGGTAGAGTGGTACACTTCACCCGTATTTCAAGTCACTGGCGACTGATCACGGTCTCCCGGATTATATGGTTAGAACGCCAACACTCAGACCTTCGACCTCCTCTGGAACGAAAAGGCCTTCAGAGAGCAGCAACTTAGAAGAACCATATTTGACACTGGCTGATTAAGGCTCGCAACCATATTCTGGTAGGAACGCTTGAGTCAGCTGTTGCTTCGTTCACCACGATAACTAGCAATAATTCGAAACAAAGTTAGAGCTCAAGCAGCGTTGTAGAATCATTCGACATTCCATCGAGACAAAACAGAAGTCGACAGATGTCGATAATTCCAACCCTAATGTTTGTGAATAGTTCAAATCAATTTGCAGTTTGTATTGTTAGATCAGGTAACTAATAAAACTAGTGAATTGGCTGTGAACCAGAACACTTTGCCGTGGATTGAAACTCGTACCGACTGAGCAACTCCAAGAATAGGCTTAAAAGAGAGGGATTAATAGCATGAAGCGAAAACAGCGAAACTAATCTGATTCAAAACTTGATCGGAACCTATGGTACTCGCAACTTAAATGACCAGACCAGATTGCAACAATGAGCACGAGCCATAGTGGCAGGAAACTGTCTAAATTGGCGGCGAAGCCTATGCAAAATCCATTCTAAATGACAGGGAAATCACCCTATTTATGGAGTGAACATTATACCAAAAGCATTTTAAAGTACTCGACAAATCTCATGAACAATGTCTGCGTGAGATATCGCTCATCAACTGGTTAGACTGAATCTCCAACACTGAATTCCTCAAACGTGACATCAACAAGGGAACTGAATGTACCTTGATGTAAGACAAACGGCTGACAATGGTGAGGAATGGAACTCGAATCCTGGGACGCCCAACATTCAAGTAAGTTTAAGAAACTCAGTTTCAGACCTTGGGAAAATCTAGTACTTGACAGCGGTCAGCCGTCCGCACAAGCCTGACGAGCTTTGACTCACAACGAATATCAATGCTAGAACGTAGGTGCATCATTCGAAACGAGCACGAACACAGTCGAAACCAACCAGAGCTGTAGAGCCTGCGGATATACGTTCGTGAGCAGAATCGGACACGCAGGTCACTAACATCTCCACATTAAGCAACTACGGAAGCGCCAGTAAATCACCTATGGAAGTCGCCCTCATTCCCAGCTTACATCTGCCGAGGACAAGCATGTCACGATCAATAATCGAAACCGGTCCTGCCGTCACACTAGGAGATGACATTACAAGTGTAACGGTGGGTGCTGCTGATGAAACCCACGAGTAGCACGTGGTTTTCTCATAACTCCACTTCGCGTCTATTGGAAAGTGAGATTTATTACGGAATTTGTAGAATCGCTTTGTAACGTTTGAGTGATAGTCAATGAGTATCCAGGAAAGTTCAGGAAGACGCGTTCGAGAAGAAGACGGATACACAGCTTCTATAAACGAGAGTTATGCTTCCCTGCCTAATAGTCTGCAACAGTTCAGTTGATGTTTTCCAATAAATAACTCCGCAGCGAAGGCCTTCCTTTCACCAGTAGTAAACCGACCACTAGTGCGGCGCCTGACTAGCCATTCCCGCTTAAAAAGCGTGGTGAAGGATATCCTCCAGAGAGCATTTTTATGGTCCTTTATCTGGGAGAACCGCGGCATCCCACTGAAACACGGATGAGGCAGGCGTCTCAGGATTACGTCGTAATGCTTAAATCGGCTGACGGCTCTCAGCAGGGTTCCGCGAGTTTGTCTGCCGGTCTTATTTTCTCGGGTTTACATCGGGACCGGCGGCACAAACCATTCCTACTTTATCTACTATGGGCGGGCGTTCCGTGGATCAACCTCTATTGACAAATAGATCCGTATCGGACACCTGTCAACAATGAAGATTCGAAATGTCCGCAGCGAGTATTATTGCACTAACAATGATGAAATCTATTTCAAACTAAACAGAAATATTCATTCCTCCCCATCTCTCCTCATGTGGTCCGTCCAATTCGATCTATATAGTAAGGTGGGGGGAAGTGTCCGAAATGATGGTTCTCCTCATAGGAATGACCACTTGTGATCGATATATTCAGGTGCGCATAGCAAAAGCACACACAAAAAGCAATCATTCCGTGAGTGCACAAGCTCTATTTTCACCAACCCGACACATCGTAGGCTTCGGGTTTTAAAAGAAGAAGTGACACGCCAGCAGTACATTTACCGCTATCACGTCAGTCAATGATAAAACTCTCCAAAAACTGTGCACAGGCTACTGCGGACGCAAGTCAGAAACTGTCAGCATGAATAATTCACCACAAAGCTAGAAATTGGTAGTTGGCCAAACAGCGGTTGTAGTTGCGTAACGCCCATGTATCCAATATCAGAAAGATCAACACAGAGGCACATCAGCGCACCTGCGAGAACACAAGTGTCTAAAAATAGATCTAAAAAGGGGTGAAGTGAATAGTATGCCATATATAGTTTAAGACCAAACTTAACAACGACAGGCCTTCTGCAGTATCAGTTCTACAGGATCATTTCTGACAAAGTTGTGAAATTTTCCCGCAGGAACACGAGTCTGGATGGGAGTGAAATCAAATCATTTCATAACAAGGACAGGAAATGACCAGAGCCCTCTCAATAGAATACGAAACACAACTATCCAACTTTGAATTAGAACTGCGAGGAAAGCGCCGGAAACAACGGAAACATGGAAACTAAAGCCTACGGGGCAACGAACATAAAAAACACTGGGCGATCTGTCTGATTGATCTGCTAATCTGAGGACTCATTTAAATCACGGAAACGTGGTACCACAGAAACTTCGGTCACTGATAACCAAAAACAAAAACGGTAGGAAACAAGTATGTCCTGATTGCGAGATGATCAATGCGACATCGTGTGCAGAAAACTGATCCTCCCTCCAATCTCAAAGATCCAGCAACATGCTCTAACTTGCAGATTTTTATGAACCTGCACACCCCTGAAAAGGCAAAAAGCATCCATCCAGCTCGTTGTAGGAAAGGGGTGATGTCGCAGCTAGACAAATTAAATAACCTGACAAGAAGGGTTCGCGTTCCCTGATTTTTGTAAAAGATTAGCTTCCGCTGGGTAGTGACAGAGCCAAAATGGTCGACATTCTTCCGTCCATTCTAAAAAGTTTAGTTTGCTGACCAATACACTGGTAAAGTTCGTGGAATGGGGATTAAGAATTTCCTCTAGGGGTACCATAATCTGAACAGAAATAATTAGGGACACTCTATGTATCAGTTTGCGAGATAAGAAGTTATTTTCATGGACACATTCTTCCAGAAAGCAGAGTTGACAAAAGCGATAACCTTTGAATGCAGTCCTTCGGAATTCAAGCAGATCAAGCGAAATCTAAACCCTGAGGTGTTCATTTGAGGGAAGACTGGAGGAAGGAGTGGAAAAGAGCTGAATACGCTCAGTTGTGACCATTGTTGCACACATGTGAACTTCATGACAAGGTGTAATGGCCATTAGAGATGTCGAAACGCGACGCTTCACATATGTGCCTGTTCGTGAAGAAAGACAAACCACACCTACAACACCAACAGCTAGTGAAAAAATTACCTCATTTATGAAATCACACTTCAGTATGCTATACGTATCCGAATACCCACCATAAAATTGGTGAGAATTATCTGTCAACCTGGTCAGTCAAATTCAGTATGGGGTAAAGCCAACGTCCAGATCTGTGTCCAGTTACAGTTCAGTTGCCTCTATTCATCTGATCCGGTTATACTCTGCGTCTGATTCAGTTGTATACATCTTGGAAAAGTGGTTGGCACGACTTACACAGAACATCCAAGTGTAATACGACCATTCATTGGAGGAAAAAAAACTTGTGCAAAGTCAAAGCAACGAGCAAAACTTCACAGACAGTTTGAAAATAGGCGAGAAAAAGGTGCCCGATTACCGCATAAATGTGTGCAGCCGAGGCAAACTTGTTTTAAAACCCTAGAATTGCCCTGATTGCGACACATCCCGTAAAGCAGGATGACATCTTGCACGTCTGCGACGAATGTGTTCACAATCTCGAAACCGACACATCGAAACTCAAATTTGCAACTAGCATTGGATAAGAGATGAAACACAACTTACCCGCAGCTCAACCCACTTGTCCAGATATCTTTGGTCACTGAATTGCATCAGATGTCCAGCTTTGCTAACAACAAGGGTGAGAACTTCTCCACCCTCGGGACAGCCCGAAGAAGCTGCATCGCTGTGCTGAGCAGAACAAGATGACCGGGAAACACAGCACACGTCCATGAAGGCATTGTGAAGGAGATCGCCTAAAATGGCATTTCGGCCGTTCAGAGGTATAGTTTCCTTGTTCTGAAGTAAGAAGTTAAACTGAGCGAAAGAAATAGCAGGGACTCGCCCAAAGGGCAAAGAGGATGTATGGAATAAATACTTTAATCGTAGTTTCCCACAGCTGATTCCGTGGATAAGATCGAATGTAGATGATCCAGCTGGTGTAGGAACTTCGGCAAATAATGAAGGTCAGTTGTAGGCTTTCCGTATTCAAGGTGTGCTTGGACATCCTGTACGCTTCTGATATGACCGTCCGAATCACTTCTATGAGATAATTGCAAGTACAACTGATTTTCTTGGCACCTCACTAGTCAGTGCGAACAAAGGCGGGCCCGGGTAGCTATTGCTTCGGAGGGTGTTGGAAAAGTACTTTTACCGGCAGTGTAGGCCTTGTCCTATGTGTTGTCCGCACTGTTTTCCAAAACTGGTTTTACAGTCGGTACAGGAGTTCTGGATACCACAGTACCTGGTCAGCAACTCTGGTGAAAAATCAGTTACTAAATGTCAAAGAAGAAATGAGCGGAACAAAATTTAAGTAGAGGTAATTGAACAAACACAGAAGCGCCAGTGATTTTGTGATGTAACCAAATGAGCGAGAGCCTCAGCCGCCGATCGGGTGGGTCCTTAGCTCTTCATCCTTACACACACCATGCATCAACGTGACTAAAACCATGAATTAGGTTACTAACACTTCTTTGCTATGGCACAGTCGCCCTTTGGAAGAAGAAATAAGGTATGAAATAGCCGTACTGAAGCGTGAGAACGCACCAGGACCGGACGGTCTGNCTAATCTAATTGCCTGCCTCCTCGCCCCTTTTGGGCTTACTGCTGTCGACTGGTGTGAGGCGGAGGCCGCCGCGACTAGGCATGTTGTTGTGAGTGTCAGGTCCATTCATCAAGCGTTTGATTCCCTATCTGACTCGATGCTTGTTGGTAGTCACATCTGCAATGTACATTTGGTTACTTCCGTGAGGAAACCTCGAGAAATGATGTCCCTCCCCCTTTTTAGTGTATTGGCTCGCGACTTGACAAAACGTAGTCCTGAATCTGTCAGAGAGTGTCGCTATGATTCCCTGGGGTTTCTTCTATAACAGGCCGGAGACTCAGTCATAGTTGGAGGCTTTGGTAACCGGACCACTCGGCTGAGTGGATTTGGTGCCGCCAAGGTCAAATCGGGTGGTCACTTTGGTGTGCACACGGGACGCGCGGACAGCTGTGAGCCCCTGTCGCACAAGTGTGCTAATCGCAGACTGTTATTTTAAAGTACCAAATTCACCAACAGTCAAAATCGCTTGACTACATGCCAGCGAACACCAAAACCTAGAGACTAACTTGCCATCAAATTAAGGTGGTGAGGCTCAATTGCTGCTCGTAGCCGCTCTGGAAGTACCTGCGCCCTGATCACCACAAGCACATTCATTGATAGATGCTTCGCTGCGTTACAACCATGCCAACGCAAGTGAACAAGGCCTTATAGTAAGGAAAACACTGGACGGGGAGAGGAGGCACCTAACTTCGAGGGTGTCTACGCTTCCATCAAGTAAACACTCCGAGTGGAAACTGGCAGCGTTTTGGCCGGTGAAAAATGTTGGCTGCCGCATTGTTCAAATCGGCACATCCTGGAATGCGAACGGTACCAGCAGCACTCGAACATCCAGCATTCAATTTTTCTACCCAAATATAGTCCACCTCTGAGATTGGGGCACTCAGAATTAAGGGCTTCTCAGTAGGGAAAAACTTAGCTTGCATAACACATAAACCGGTTACCGGGCCTTCGCTCACAGACATCGAGTACGCAGACGACATAGCTCTTCTAGGATCTGACCCCGTGGCAATGCAAACAAATACTAAATAACCTAAATAATTCTGCCTCGTGATAAAAAAAGAACAATGATAAATTCATTTTCCTCATACGCACTGTTGACCACCGTCAATGTACGCAAGTACTGTTATGGGAGGTAATAGTTGCAACGGCTAGGGCGTTTTGACTTTCAGTGGATCTCCGTCAACCTCCAACGACAGTTTCGTACATAGATTCAGTTAACCGTATCTTATGCCGTCGACAGATTATCACGCGGTACTTGAATTTTTCGGTTGACTGGGTTTGGTTTTATGTCAATCAAGGCTACACAATGGGAGCAACTGTCGGTCCGGTACGCAAATGTCAGCGCTAAAATCCGCGTTGTAAGTTGGCTCCTGGAACGTTGGGTTCACTGAACTATAGCTGAACGCACGGCAAGTCTTTCACGAGCTGTCGAACAAAGAACAGTAATCTACAGCCGACAAAAAGTTATCATTCCCATTTTATTTCAACAAAACCCGGCTAGAATGATTAATGCATGCAGGGACCCATGCAGGATAAAATTGATTCCTGACTGAACCATGGTTGGCGGATGATGATCCCACGGACTGGTAAAGAATGGAAAAGTGGATAATGGCCCGATCGCTGAACGAACGCTTGTCGATGGGTGTGGAAACCACTACTTGCACCCAAAATCATTACATTGAATCAGGAATGCAAAGGGGGGGAGAAAGCGCACACAAATAAATTGGATCACCACACTGCTTGAATGCAGTTCAAAATTTTCCTCCCTTTGAGGCTTTTTGAGGCTCTTTGAGGCTTCCTGTGGTACGGTATCTGTTTGAGGAACGAACCAGCTATTCGGTGTTAAATACTGAAGCGATGAACTAAATAACCTCCCATGACAGCGCAAGCGACGGCTGAAAAATCGTTGTGTGTTAACTAGCGAAAACATTATTCGCGGTTAACGGATTCGCAAAGCACCAGCCTTCAGGGGTCTACGTCCTTAAAGATAATTCCTTTTTTATAAATAAGGTATTCTTCGGGCTATTTGTTGGCTAAGCTGATAGAGAATAACACTGCTAGTGCAAGGAAAACCGGGATCTAATTTCTACCACACCATGTGATAGCGACATGGGGATAGGACAGGAGAGGAACTGCGTCCATAAGACTTTCACATGGTTTTTACGGATTCTCGGGCACAGTAGTGGAACGAGATGTCCTCTGTGTGGTTGACAGAGCCAATCATATGGAATAGCGATGCAAAAAAGGAGCCACAGTAATGGAAAAAGTACTTACTCGGGTTCGCTTGATCTCCAAATACCAAAAACGCACATGGCGAACACCAACAGTGACAAAGAACTGTCCGTTAGGACTGAACGCCACTCCATTGATCTGGACAGAAAGAGAGTGTAAAAACGGTCACACAGAAAACTTCCCCTTAGGTGTAGTGCAAATACGGCCTGGTCCATAAACAAACAAATAGAAACGAACAACAGCGCGGCAGCGAGATTTTCATCCAATTTCCAACTGGTTAACCAGACAGCATTTGAAACCCGATCATTAAACAGACTGAACATCCCAAAGTGTACATTTCTTTGTTATTTCTTTCTAGTGAATGAATACTGTTGGCAAACTGTTTTCGGTCACCAGACATTAGTTATTTGAAGTGTCGCGAACAGGCTTGCGAAAATGCTATAATCACAACGCACCTGCTGAGTGTTGCAATGAGGACACCGCTGGGTCGACACCCCAATGCACTCTACATTGCAACGAACAAAGACAGGAATCATCCAAGCTCTATGGAATTGACTTAATGAAGTGCGGATAGCCACTTCTACATGTACAGGAGTGTTCATAAGATGAGTTTGAATTTTTCATCTCATCAATCAAGAGAAGAGGTTAACAACTGGTTTGTGTGGAACTGAAACTGTTTATTTGGTGCTGCTCAGGAGGGAGCATTTTAGCAATCAGTCGGCCACATGGGTTTACTTTGGAAGGATAACCTGGTGACCAAGTCTCTAGTTCTAGACAGCAGGCTTCGAATACACTGATGATATTGCTCGATTCTGCGACATGTTGGACACCTTAGCCAACCAGGTCTAGAAAGTTATATGGCTAAGCCAAGATTTTCTCCGTTATATAAGGGTATGGCTTGACCTTGGCAGAAGAGATAAAGTGAGCGAACAAATCACTGCACTCAAGTACCTGAATACCATCATCTTGTCTCACTATGAGACCACAGAGTTTGACGTGGGTATAATTGTGTTAGATGCCGCTACATAGCTGAGCGATGCCTTGTGGAAAAACGGATTCATTCTACGCAGAAAACATGGTTCGTCAACAGGAGTTCCTAGCCATTGTACAACGCGAATTCAAGGGTGAGAGAAGGTTCGCAGACTACAAAGAGCACGAGTTCGTCGGTGTAAAGTGTCCCCTGTAGCCGGTTTTTATACAAACCCAGCATCGAAGGGAACCGAAAATACGGATCTGAACAATAAAAATACATGAACTGAGGTTATAGGAAGAGCAATAGGCTGTGGTCTCAAACTGCACACCAGGAAAACATATACTGGGGGTGAAAGGTAGGAGGCATCATACTGCAGTAAACAAGAATAAATATTTACATCATAGGCAGGAAAAGCTTTTGGATCAAACACAGAATGACCCAAGGGTGACACGTACCTTGTTGGTGACCTTAGCACTGGCAACTCGTTGTCCACCCGTTCGGTCCCATACATACACAGTGTTGTCATCTTGGCTACCCAAACTAACCAGGTAGCGTGAGGATGGGCTAAACCGAACGGCAATGACCCGAAAATGGTGTCCGGCGAATTCCGCCAGGTGTGAACCATCCGACACATTCCACAAGCGAACCATAGGATGATGTCCTGACTGGAAGCCAAAAGCGTGGAAGAAGAGCAACGCTGCGGATTATATCAAAGCAAAACATTGTGACTCGTTTTGGGAAATTCTCTGAAGGTCCATATACAAAAATCCGCGTGGCCTTATTCTTGCCCCCGTATTTAGTTACACACCAGGGGGCTTATTCATTCTAATGACCGGAGAAATATATAATCATCTTATAAGGAACACAAACAGAACAAACAGAAATCCGTCAATAGATAATGCTCGGGAATAGACCCTCAACGCGAACGTCTACACAAAGCATGCGAAAAACACAATGCATGAAAAATGATTAGTGGAAACAAGACATGAAATATCGATGCAGAAACTGAATGTCTTTTTGGGCTAAGACTGCACATGTGCTAATGCGTTCAAAAAAGGATTTTGAATACAATACCATTCACAGATGTTGAATGAATCCGCGAACCATAAGTCAACCTTAGGTAACATCGTTTGGTATTTAGTCAATGTTAATTAAAACGGTAGAATCAACGCATGCTGGAACTGTGTCGTCAAGGGCCTACCTAATCCATCGGCAAGCTGGCTGCACAGCGAACATAACAAAAAAGGAAAGCCAATGAAAATTTGCGGTATCTTTGCTGTAAGTAGTCTTCTTCTAAAAAAAGGCATCAGTTCAACCTTCAAAAAGCCGAAGAATACACGCCCACATAGGAATAACAGGTACATCACACGACCGCCGTCCTTCATTCCGATGTAGTATTGCCCTGTAACTAGTTATGAGCCCTGTGAATACGAAGCTCACCGACAGTGAAAGTCAGAATGCAAACAGTACAGACGCAGAATGATAAACGAAGACGGAGTTATACTCACTTCACCAGTTGCAATGAACTTCCCATCAGGACTGAAGTCCACTGCGGTGATAGCTTTCTTGCTGGCGCTTTGGATAAATCGTTGCCGATCCGGGTCCAAGGTACGCAGAACGATTACACATCTGTCATGGGAACGGTCAAAGCGGAAGTTAAAAACACAACGGATACTGCGTAACTAAACTAAATAACCCAGAAAAAACGGACAACCAACACACAAACAGATCGTATCATATACCACTCCTCAAATAAAGATTACTTGAAGTGGTCTGCAGACAGAATTCCAGTTTCTCAAAAGAGGCTCACCCTGCACAGAGGACACCGAAATAAAGCCAATTCATGCTGAAAAGCCAAGAAGCACTGAACATTCGTGTCAGTCTTGCTGAGAACTTCCAGGAGGCCGCATCTCACATCCTTGGAGAGAGTCGCCAAACAGTACTGCAAAAACAAACGCTTGATGCACATTGACAACAGTATATTGTAGCCCACGGTCAATCGCTGGCAGCTGCCGGTCGACAGCGACTGAATCGTTGGTCACCTACGCATACTTGGAAAACAACTACAGGCCTGTGTGGGTTCTAACGTGGTGCTGCACAAAGGTCTCAACGCCGATGAGGACACGACGGACTAAACTGGGCAAACGAGTTTACTAGGGCTGTTGAAAGCCGCCAAAATAATTAATCATAAATTTATATCCACCACTGAATTGTCAACGCTGTCTGTCGACCCCTGGAAATTCCAGCACATTTGCCTATTATGCTGCCGTAACAGTGTTCCAGAGAGTTGTTCAGCTGTATTTCAATACTTATGTGCTTCTGAATAACGCGTCCTAGAAACAGTGCATTATTGGCAAAATCACGGTTAGAGTGGAGAAACACGTTGCACTCTTTGTAAAACCGATTTGTCGGTTTATATTATGTTGCTTGGGGCCTCGATATCAGAACAGATAATAACATATGATAACGGATAAGTTGAAACGAAGTTGTGCGTAGGATTCATCACCAATATTGTAAGTATTTAAAGCGCCTAGAAGACAAAACTCAGTGCATGAAAAGATATGAGTAGTTAGTGCGTTTTAACCCCAACGTTTCGGCCATATTGATTGACCTTGACAAGTAGTTTCACAAGTAGACAAAATAAACTGATAACTACTCGTAGATCAGGTGGCTATTCATCCGTTCGTGCGAGGCTGATGACGTCCGCGCTGATGATAGCCCCGTGATTGGTGACGATAAGTTTCCAAGCAAACTGCCAAGCTCGACAAACAGATAAACAGCTTCCTGACCCAAAAACAAAGAATGCATAATAAAGCTAGCATCTGAATCAGTTATTCAAAACGTTCACAGAACTGCCAGTAATACCAGCTGCATGTAGTTATGATTATCATAGATTGTATCTCGCAGCTGGTCTCTGATTTCTCCTGACTAGATACACCACGCAAACATCAGAATGACGTGGAAGGTTGGTACCCCTTCGTATTCAAAGAAATTTTGCAAAGGAATCATGAGTGGGGTCAACTTTATCTCAATACGGAATGACAGTCTGTTCCCTTTCTCTGAAGATTTTACTCAGAATTCCTTGATGCCATGAACAGTGTGACCTACGTTACTTACGACAGAAGGCAAACGAGTAAGTATGAACATCAGTCATGGCACTCCACAGCCAGAAAAAAAGGGGAAAGTAAAGTAAAGCGGTTTTTGCTGCTAGTAATACGTTTTAACTGGACGGCTTAGATGATCTAAAATTGCGCTCTTCATGGGTTCAAGTTAAGATAAAGAACAGTAATCAAGTGTAAACTACAGTAGTCACGTTGCCAGATGACCATGGTCAGAACCTGCTTGGTACTTACCCAGCAGCATAAGCTATCGCTCCGGACGCTTGATCAAGCGACAAGGCACAATTATTGGCTGATGTGAATCCGAGTACGCGCTCCAGAACCACTTGGTTGGAAACCTACAGTAAGATTCGCAACAGGCAGTAGATTATACCCAAGATCAGTAATAGCGACGATGGAAAGTGCCGAAACATTGCGTATGAATAAGAAAGAGTGATAGGTGAAACTATGGAATACATGTGGCATGTTCTATATTATTGTCTGCCCTTGTGTTAAAAACCCTGCAACACATGCTTGTAAAAGGTGACTGAATGGACGTTGCACTTGACTGGTTTTCCACTGTTTTCCTCAAATTATGCTTTCCCTAAACTGTTGTGCGGATATCAGGCACCATCATAGCTCAGCGAACAATAATGTGGGAATGATCATGACACCTCAAAGATAATCTGTTGAGGTAAAAACCGAAGTGGAAGTTCAGTGCTTCAGGTTCGCTATTGCCGGTCAGATTCACTGAACCTCAAAAGCCAAACAAATGATGGAAATGAAGAAGTGGGGTTAGTAGTAATGATGGAAATGAAGAAGTGGGGTTAGTAGAAAACAAATCCGGTTGCGTTTGAAAAGAAACACAATACCCACTTGCATCCGGCATCCTCGTGGAATCTGAGCCGACCTATTTGATCGCGAGGGCATTTTATGGTAGGTTTTCTAATCCATTTCAGTTGACAGAACTGTGGATGAGATTGCTGATGCTCTGTAGGACAAGAAGGAATAAAAGCAAATTGTTGAACGATGACGGGATGCGAGTTGGGTCATGCCGTCCTTAGTCAGACAAAAACTCATTTGACAGGTAATATCACTGCTACAGTTATAACACTTTCACTCAATAATTCAAAATAAGATAAAACTACAGTTCATGCACTATATTCCATAATTTTCTGGAAAACCGCTAGCGCCGTTGTGACTCCGGAACAAACTTCGGGGCGTACTTAGAGTTAGGAACCCATTGGGGTTTCCGCGACCACGAGTCAACCGGGTCAACTTTTGCAACTGTCATGTGGACTGGGAAAGGTCTGCTAACACGAGTCACATGCCATTGAGACGTACAACGAAATCTTTACAGAAATGAACGGTCTGGTTACCCTATGTAACAATCTCAGCAGATGAAGCCCATACCCAGACGTTGAAATGGTGAACACCGACAAGGTGGAATCTGTCTAATTCCGAACCATCAACGTCAACAGTAGTATAAAACTGCGACTGGAAGACATCCGAAATTTAGAGGTTTTAGAACACTGATGTCCAAGAACTATCGTCAAACCAAAGTAGACTGACAGAGTCCCCAGTAAGGCAGTAAGACATTCCTGTTTTAGCATCTCAGGACCACCTGAACAGACGATGCAACTTCGCTAGCAATGGTGTGGCCATGTACGCAAACCGCAAGTGCCCAATAATGACGTGTCAAAGGTGGTGTGGCTGTCTTAAAATACCTTACGTATAAAACGCAGGAACATAGTGACCACACAATAATCACCATCAACCTCATGAGCTGCAACAACCGTGTACTTGCCATGCAGTGGATATAGCTGCCACCGTCTCGAAAACCGACGATTTAGGGAGGTGGGGTAGGTAGATGCGCATTGGAGGCATTGATGCATAAATACAGGGTTCACAGTGAACTCATCATTGGGAGATATGGGAGGGAGCTATGCATTGAAGACAATATCTTGGATATTTGAGCACCATTGAGGGCGTGACTGGGTCATGTCTGACAATGTCTCTAACCGTTGATACGTCCCATCTCCGGGTCCTCATACACGGAGACGGCAATGACCATCGCAAGTGAGCTTACTGGTAGTGGCTTTCGCACTTCGCTGCCAAGTCATTGTTTGGCCCACACCGGCTCATTTCAACCATTCGTGTGGTTGTGCGAATACAACCTTTCGAGGAAGTCGGTCGACTGGCGTACAGGGCACGTGGCCAAGTCAGCGTAACATACGGAGTGTGATTCGTTCACTTATTGTGAGTGAGCTATTTCTTCCAAAAATCTTTCGTCGCACTTCAGCAATACTGATCCGGTGTTCCCACCAGACTCAGACAGTGCTCCGAAGACATCGGGGATGAAACACTGAAAGTGTTTTGACGTCCTCAGCGCGTAACGACCAGGTTGGTTCCAGCTGCTAGTTTCGGTCACCGGAAAACGAGAGTGGAACATACAACCAAGCCTTGGAGGCGAAGGCGTGTTCAGTTTGTTTAGAAATCGGGTAGCTACGCATTGAAGGCGATAGCTTTGATGCACGAGCGCCACTGACTGCACAGGTGGGCCATTTCCGCCAGTGTCATTAACTACTGGTGAGTTGAGTCCTGGGGTCCCCATCCAGGAAAACTTACTGTCCGCATTACAATGCAGGCAGATCCAAGAACAGCTATGTCATCTACGTACTCGACGTTTGTGGGCGAATGCCCCGGGAGCACTTCGACCCCACAGGCACTAGAGGATGGTAGTGACTGTTCCACACTTGTAGCAATGACGAAGTTGAAGAGGAAAGGTGCCTGCTACCAGTTGCTGTGGTGAACCCAGGTGAGAGCTTCCATTACACCTTTACGCTCCCATTGTAGATGGTTTACAGAGCCTTAAGGAGGGTCAATAATTTATGGGGAACACCTTTGCTCCATATGCACTGCCGTGGTGCCTGACGGTCCGCGGAGTCAATGACTAAGTTAAAGTCAACAACACCATTGTTGCTTGCTGGAAGTAACGCCGCTGCCACAAAACCCGACGGGGGTCAGCTGATTGAAGCATCCTGCTGCTGGACCGAACCCAGCATGGTTTTAAACGGATCTGTCTTTCCCTGTGCTCAGTCAATCTTCGAATGATAAGACCAGAGAGCACCTTCCATACCAGAGCTACCAGATTGATGCCACGATGGTATTCACACATCGTCCGCGTACCCCTTTCAAAGATAGGAATAACTGCCAACATGCTCCATTCTGCCGGCACTTTCTCTTCACTCCATATCGCACTAATGAGCTTTGTTAGGTGGGTCTACAGATTCTCCACCTTCTTTGAAGAGAGCTGGATACAGACCGGCTGGTCCTGGCTCCTTCTCACGTTTCGGTACTGATATTTCGTGCATTATTTCTTTTTCCAAAGGGTTATTAAAGTTTGCATTCCATTCACTTATGCACTATCTCAATGGTTCGAACCCGACCTCTGCCTCTCAAATTCCCCTGTCTAGGCTTGGGCAGCCTGGCAGTATACCAGCCCTCGTGCCTCCTTCGTGTGGCATGGCAGCTAGGTACCGGAAGGGTGCTACAGCTAAACGATCTATCTCCAGAGGCTGTGTCGCAAGAGCCAAACTAAACTGTTCTTCGAAGTGTTCGGCCCATCTTCCCAGTCGATGTTTCTGAGGGTGAATTAAAAAGCGTCTTTTCCACTTATCATTTCCAAGCAAGTTGTATGCCCCAGAAGGAATGACACTCGTAAATTAAGGCCGTCAACCGGTGGCTGATGGTCCACAGTTGATTGACAGTTGGCGCTGTCAGATTACGCGACGCGAACGTTTATGCTGAAAGTTCGTACTTGCCAGAAACGGTTCATGGTCGGGACACAGCTGAATGAGTCGATCTCCGTTGTCTGTGCGGCGAGTATCGACCCCGAATCGACCGCCCAAGTATGATTCTAAGGTGTTCAGACAGCCGACTTGCGCATTCATATCGTCCGCAAGCACCACAATTTCAGTGATTCTAGCTTGACTCTGGATACAAAGTATCCTTCTCAGCGTCAGAACTGCAGTCCGCTGGGACATAAGCCGACACTATAATCAGGCACCACTTTTATGCCGAGGCGCTGGGCGTGAATGAGCTGGATAACCGGACAGCACAGACAACCGTCCACCGAGATATAATCCCACAAACCGCGTTCAGCTATGGAGCTGACTGCAACTCTCACGCCATATATTTCACGGGTCATCACATCTGGATTACCGGAAACAGAAGGAGAAATGTGAAGGACCCGAGTTCGTCCTTGGCGTTCTGAGTTTCAAAACCACGCTTGGGTTTCGTAAGCGTTTCGGAGAAACAGCATACCTCAATTTTCAGGAAGTACAATGTGTCAGGGAGCGTTGCCTGTTTACCACTTTGATATAGAGTACGGACGTTAAAAGCTCCTATACAAAAAGGATCTAACGGATTTAAAAAGGTGTTATTTTGTTTATTGTTATAGGCAGCGGGGAGCATCAGGTCCTTCGGTTACACGACCGACAGCCAAATGACCCAGCGACGTTTACTTGCGTGGTAGGAAGGGGTTGGAGAGGAACACCAGTGGACATAGAACTGTGCGGGGAAATGATAGTTCCCGGTTGCCCAGACCGAGGAGGAGGGTTTGGTTGAGGTACCCCATCTTGAGCCTTCAACTCAAAAGTCTGACCCACAAGGCAGTGGGAGGATGTAGGGTTTTTTTTCAGGGACCCTGCCCATACCCTCTGACTCAAAAGTCTGACCCACGAAGCAGCGGACAGTAGGGTTTTTAGGGACCCTGCCCGGAGCCGATGACACAATAGTCTGACCTGCTCAGCTGCAGGGGGGTGGTCTACCCCAAGGTCGCAGGGAGTAGGACATTACTGTATCACTTCTGATGCGGCTGCACACAGCAGGTGCTTTTGAACAGCACCAGACTTTTCGGTTTTAAGGGTATTTCGACCGTGTTGAATAATGCGCCGGCGGTCACAGCCAACCACTAGGCGATCGGAGTGTGCAGTTTTTACGGATTACCTTCTCGAAACCGTTCTTTCTCGGAGGAAGGCAGTATCACTGGCTCCACGAATATGGACATGCCGGTGGCGCGAAGACACAAGTGGGTAAGTTTAGTGCTGCTAGGATCCAGATGATTGGTCTGGTGGGGTTGGCCACGAAACGCACAGACAGCAGAGAGTACCTACTGCAGGTGCGTACTGACCAGACGTTCACTTGT